AAAGAAATATTTCCTCTTTTTCTTTCTAACCTGTACTTTGATGCCTGATACATAGTGAGTGTCCCCTGTATGTTGACGGAATTAAATATTTTTTTCCTCTCAGAAGGTATGCTTAGGGTAAGTTGAATCAGTAATTCTGACCCTCAATAGTCAATATAATTAGGGAAGGAAGTAATATTATGTATGCAGTAGTGCTTCTTTTGACATCGAATTTTATAATAATAGCCATTTGCAGATTTTGTGTGCCTTATGAAAGAGCTTCTAAGCTGGTACCAGCTCTCTGACAATACAGATTTTCCTTTTAGGAACAGTTGTCAGTTCCATGTAACTTTTTTTGCTGTTGTTAGAGCACATGTGTAGCCACTACTTAGTTTAATAAATAAAACTTTAAAAAAACAATTAAAATCTTCCGTGTATCGCTCCCTGATTCCATTACCCTGTCAACCCCTGAAATTATTACTCTGATTTTCATGTTTATTATTTTTGTGCCTATTTTCATACTCCCCCTATACTTGTATGTATCCTTAAACAACACATAATATTTATTGTTTTGCATTATTCAGGCTCTATAAAAACATCACCTTCCACTTATCAGTCATCCTGAGTTGTTTGTTCATGCTGATGTTTGCAAATTACCTAAATTGGTAAATGTTCCAGTTAATTTCTTTTAGCTCTTGCGTAGTATGCAGTGTATGTGTCCATCTCTTTTTTTATATGAGCTTCCTTTTGTTTTTTTACTTATTTTTATTGAGGTATAATTACAACATATTAGTTTTAAGTGTACAACATAATGATTTGATATTTGTATATATTGCTATACACCCATTTATTTAGTGTACCTTTAGATTGCTATTGCAAACAATGTCTACTTTTGCACAATTATATAAGAATTCTAGAGTATAACAGAAAAGCTTTTTTTAAGGTAGAATGGAGAAAAATACCATTTTAAAAGACAAATAGTGAGGCGCCTGGGTGGCTCACTGGATCAGGCATCTGGCTTCTGCTCAGGTCATGATCTCAGGGTCCTGGGATCTCTCTGCTCAGTGGGGAGCTGCTTCTTCCTCTCTCTAGGCCCTTCCTCGCCCTGCTCCTGTGCTCTCTGTCTCTCAAATGAGTAAATAAAATCTTATTAAGGAGAGCACGTATTGCATGGAGCACTGGGTGTTATATGCAAACAATGAATCATGGAACACTACATCAAAAACTAATGATGTACTGTATGGTGACTAACATAACATAGTAAGAAAAAATCTTAAAAAAAAAAAGACACACAGTACCAATTTATTCAGGCAAGAATCATCAAAGCTGCTAATACCACTGGGTGAAATTTGAGGAGCAGGATATTTCAGTAGTCTCAAAGTATCTCTCCTTTATAGATACTTATAGGTAATAATTCTCCACTTACTAATCAAAAAGAGAAAAATAGTAACTTTACAGGGGAGAAACCTAGTAATAACTAATGACCTCAAACCAAGTGATCAAAGTTAAACATCATCAATCATGGGACAAACAGATCACATGTTCCCAATGTGATGTACTGAGAAGGATACATCATTTATATAGTACTCCTGCCCAAAGTGTACAACCTGCATCTCATCATGAGGGGACATCAGATTAACCCAAAGTAAGAGACATTTTACAAAATAAATGGTTTGTACTCTTAAAAAATGGCAATGTCTTTTTTCCCTTATTTACTTATTATTTAAATTCAGTTAATTAACACATAACATATTATTGGTTTAAAATGTCAGTGTCTTAAAAAAACAAAGAAAAGCTGAGGAACTTTTTCATATAATTAGGAGACTACAGAGGTGACATATAAGTATAATGTAAGATCCTTGGTTGAACCCTGGGCCGGAAAAAAATGATACGAAGGATATTATTGGGACCATTGTCAAAATTTGAATAAGGTCTGTACAATCGATGCTAGTTTTGCAGTAATGTCCACTTTCCTGATTTTGACAATTTCATTGTGATTAAATAAGTAAAACCTCGTGTCTTAAGGAAATAAGTGCTGAACTATTTAGGGGCAAAGGGCACGATCTGTGATTTATTCTCAAGTGGTTCAGAAAAAAGTATCATTTTATACGTCCAGGGATAGAACAATAAAGCAAATGTGACAGTGTTGGCAATTCATGAATCTGGGTAAAGTGAACTCTCGTTGCAACTTTTCTTATATTTGAAATTATTGAACAAAAATCTTCCTGAGCTATACCTAGAAGTAGAATTGCTGGGTCTCTGGCTATGAATATCTTTACATTTACTAGATGGTACCAAATTGTTTTCCAGTATGGTTATACTAATTACGTTACAATTGGCCAAATTTTCACCAACACTTGATATGACTCAATTTAAAATTTGTATCAGTCTTTATGGGTATGAAATAGTACCTCATTTTTTTTTTTTTAAAGATTTTATTTATTTGACAGAGAGACAGTGGGAGAGGGAACACAAGCAGGGGGAGTGGGAGAGGGAAAAGCAGGCTTCCTGCTGAGAGGGAGTCCCATGCGGGGCTGGATCCCAGGACCCTGGGATCATGACCTGAGCCAAAGGCAGACGCTTAACGACTGAGCCACCGGGGCGCCCCCTCATTGTTGTTTTTGTTTGTGTTTCTCTGCTGATAGTGAAGTTGAACATCTTTTAAAATGTGTAGTCATTAAGGGGGGGGCTTAACTCTTTTTATGAATTGTTTGCCATATATATATTTTTTTACTTTTTTTTAATATGTCTTAATATATTCTGGAAATTAATCCTTCGTCAATTAGAGGCATTGAAGTTACCCACATACCTTTGAAAGAGGCTTAACAAAAATATAAAATTGAGTTCTATTTTATTTGAGTTACACAGAAGTAAGTAGGTCAGGGGGCAGAGAGAATATTGCACATCAAGTGGGCAGGGGCCTGGGGGCTGGCCCCTGTTTACAGATCTCTTCTGTCCTGGCTCAGTTAAATAATGAGGCAACTTGAACTTGCATTCTTATCTCTCACCCCTCTGAAAAAGGTTATTTTTAGAAGGGCTGTCCACTGTCTCCAGTGTGTTTCATTCTGAGATTTGCCGAATAATTTGTTCTTCCCTCCCCTTCTAGACTTAAAAAACCATAAAACCCTATATATTGCTAAATAGTGAAACTCTTCGCTGCTGAATATTGGCCAGTAATTGGATTGAGTAACCTGCTCTGAGGTATTGCAGCTGTCCACAGAGCAAGAGGGTAATTCAGTAGCGACACTGTCTTGGTTCATCCTCTAATAGGAATCAAATCCTTTTCAGAGAGGGTGAGGAAAGGTTAAACCATTTAGACTTGATGACAGAAAAAGATAATCTAATCATTCAAGAGCTTATTTTATTGCTCTAATTCTTAAGGTGATAAGGTATTAGATTTTCATGTTGGTAACAACAAACAAAAACTACCCCCAAAACCCAAAAGTAAAATCATGAAACTTGAGCCCTGTAAATAAACTAAAAATTTTCCCACCTCCTATTTTATAAAGGAGGACACCAAGTTAGGTGACTTATTTCTTACACATAGTCTTAGAGCTGGTGGCTGTCCTAAACAGAACTTGACTTTGGACTCCAGGTCCTCTTTACTTTCTACTCCAGGGCATTATGCCGCTATTCCTTCAAAAAAAAAAAAAAAAAAATGATGTATTATTACCTCTCCTTCTATGGATGCACATACATGTTCTCCAGGGGATAGGTAATACAGCACTCTCTACTCTCATTGATTTCCTGGTAAACTGGAAAGTGAGAAAATCAAAGGGGATCTTCTTTCAGGGAATTTAATATCTTAATCTCCATCTCAAAAGGAAAGACTTTTCTAATTTAGGAAGTAAATTCCTTTGCGACATGCCCCAGAGGGACGATTGGATAGTTAAGTCATTGCCACTCTTTATTTAAAGATCTTCTCATCTATGATTCTTTTTAGTAGTCAGAACTGGGTGGCAGTGATCATTTTTTTCAATTTACAAAATTTATGCTATTTAAAAATCTTTGAATTATTTTCTTTATGGGAAAGACAATAACAGCGTAAAGAGGAAAATCTAATCGTATTTCCCAGAGATGACCACTTAATGTGGCCTTCTTGACATTTTTTCTATGTATATCTATTTCATAAAGTTAAACTATAGTTTTAGATCCTGCCTTTTTTCACTTAACATTAAGGTATTTATTAACTACAGTATTTATTAGATGCATTGTATCTTGTCTGGATCGATCATAATGGAAAATGCTACAGTAAACATTCTTGTCTACATTTCTGATTATTTTCTTGTGATAGATTACTAAAATTGGAATTATTGAATCATCAGCAAACCTATGTTTAACCTCTTCATGCCAAAGGGATTTTGACAAACTTGCTACTAGTTCCACGCTCACACAAATTGAGCGTGAAAATACTTATTTGTGTCATTGAACTTCATCATTAAACAAAAATGTTGCTGATTTGATGATGTAAATAGGCCAATCTTTGTCTAATTCACATTTCTTTGATTGCTAGTAAGAGGTTTTGGTCTATTAACTATTAATGTTTCTATGAATTCAGTTCATGACCTTGAGACTGATTTTCTTATTAAATCATTTTTACATATTAAAAAAATCAGCCTTTTGCCATTTGTGGTAAATACCTTTTGCCATTTTGCTTGCTTTTGGCTTTATGGTTTTTATCAGGGGAAAACAGAAGGTTTTATTTTTACACAGTCTAGATCTATACCTGCAGAGAGTTTGTTCTGTAACTTCTTTCCTTAATGGTGTGTAAGGAGGCAATGCAACAAGAAAAGGGTTATTGAGGACCAAATTTCTTTGTAATGCATTAAAGTCATTGGGTAGAGGTCATTTTATGTAGACTGATTCCACCCCTTTTCCCACTGCAGTTGCTTGTCTTTTATTTTTGAAATCTGCTTCACGGTACCCATTAAATTGTTGAACCATCTTCTGCACAAAGTTGCCCCGTTGGTCAGTTCTTGTGTCCTATGGCATTTTCTCATGTCCTGATGCTTTCTTTTAAGGTATTATCCAAAGAGATGAATCACCCATGGAAAAAGGGCTCTCTGGTCTGCGAGGAAGGGACTTTGAGCTGTGTGACGTGTTTTATTTCTCCAAGAAGGGCTTGGAAGCCATTGTGGAAGATGAAGTGACCCAGAGGTTCTCCTCAGAGGAGCTTGTGTCATGGAATCTCCTCACAAGGACCAATATAAATTTCCACTACATCAGTCTGCGGCTCACCGTGGTGTGGGTGCTGGGCGTCCTAGTACGCTACTGTGTCCTACTACCCCTGAGGTATGTCTCCTGCCCAGTAATTGATGGTATCCTTGGCTCAGCTTTCTTTTTAAACCATGTATGTAATGGTCTCATGAGAGTATTATGGCACTCATTTTGCCCCTTCCTACCTGCAGAACACCACCCAGTGTGACCTCCCCAGGAACATACCAAGTATCTATTCTCCTTTCACATTTTTCCCCCCTGGTGAAGTTGTGTATTCAGAATGGAATATATGTCAGTCTGGATCCATGTTGTTCTTTCAGTCATAAATCATTTGAGGATAGATGGAAAAGGGAAGTTGGAAAAAAGAAGAGAGGATTTACGGTTTTGCCTTCACCAGAGTGTCAACCAAACTGTAACTGCCTTTCCTCGCTGGTCTGTAGCAGTTCACAGTTGCACAGGAGAGAAAAAAATTACTGAGAATGTCTACCACCCGAGAGAGAGCCATCTAGAAGACGGAATTTGTCCCACCTAGTTCCATCACGATTCACTTTTCTTATTAAAAGTTTGCCACTCTGGAAAACAGTATGGAGGTTCCTCAAAAAGTTGAAAATAGAGCTACCCTACGACCCAGCAATTGCACTACTGGGTGTTTACCCCAAAGACACAAATGTAGGGATCCAAAGGGGTACATGCACCCCAATGTTTATAGGAGCAGTGTCCACAATAGCCAAACTATGGAAAGAGCCCAGATGTCCATCGACAGATGAATGGATAAAGAAGATTTGGTATATATCTACAATGGAATATTATGCAGCCATCAAAAGATGAAATCTTGCCATTCGCAACGACGTGGATGGAACTAAGAGGGTATTATGCTAAGCGAAGTAAGCCAGTCAGAGAAAGACAATTATCATATGATCTCACTGATATGAGGAATTTGAGAAACAAGACAGGGGATCATAGGGGAAGGGAGGGAAAAATGAAACAAGACGAAACCAGAGAGGGAGACAAACCATAAGAGACTCTTAATCTCAGGAAACAAACAGGGTTACTGGAGTGGAGGGGGGTGGGAGGGATGGGGTGGCTGGGTGATGGACACTGGGGAGGGTATGTGCTATGGTGAGCGCTGTGAATTGTATAAGACTGATGAATCACAGACCTGTACCTCTGAAACAAATAGTACATTATACGTTAATTAAAAAAAAAAAAAGTTCGCCACCTGTGTCCCCTTCTGGTTCTGAGTTGGAATGCCGCCTGATGAGGAGGTACTTTCAAGTGCAGTTTACTAGAGCCACTGTGGGGAATGTAAGAGTAGCAGAGGTGACGCTGGGCAGTGGGATGGAGCACTGGTGGCCAAGGTGTGTCCAGCATGGTGATGGCAGGTAGGAGGCATGTATACCAGTCACAATATTGCTGTTGATGGTCTTGCTTCATTTCCCTGGACATAGCCTTGGCACCCTCTCAATAGAGCTGTCCAGGCAATTGAGTTAGCCACCTCAAATTGGCACATGACTTGAAACCATTTGACCATCCCTAGGGTGGCCTATACTTGCCTCATTTAGGTTTGTTACAAGTGAAGAGATTGCTTAAGTATAGGCAAAGGCATATTTCTAAGCTCTTTCTGTATTTTTTTGTTTTTTTGGTTTTTTTGCCCATGTTGCCAGTTTGCCAGTCGGGGCATGGTATGTCTTTTGGGAATCATTTCAGCTGTGATAACAAAGTGAAATTCAGGGTTTCACATATACTTTTGTTTGAACTTTAAGCCAGTGTTCCCCAACTGGGGGGCGGGGGGTTCATGTACTCTGAACATGCGCAAGACTATCCGTCGGTATGCATGAAGGAAATATCTGAGCTTTTATTTATTAGGCATTTCTAGGCTATTTATAATTAGAGCTTCCATTTATTCTGTTTTTATTCCTAAAAAGAAATGCAACTTCAGTAAAGTTGACTATTTAGATTAGCTCTTACATCTGTACTTGACCGAGTATTTGAGACGCTCTCGTTTGTCAGTTAGCTTTTACCTGCTGTGGGTGCCAGCAAATGGTGTTATGATTCTATTATCTACTTAGATTAAACTAGTGCTCATAACGCTCGCAAACTAAAGAAGTAACATAGTAGATTCTTGCAAAGAAACCACAGATGTAGGATAATCCAGTAATGTAAGCACCCAAGAAGAAGGCAATAGAAGAATTAAGACTCCTATTCTTAGTACATCCTCTTTAGTGTCAAAGAATTGCTCTGTCAATCCTTTATAAGATGAGCTGTTGCTACAAAGTGAACAGTCAAAAAGCAGATCCGTGCTAAAATTGACTATGTTGATGGTTGTACAACTCGGTGAATATGCCCCAAACCACTGACTACTTTAAATGGGTAAATTGTATGGTAGGTAAATTGTATCTCAGTAAAACTCTTAAAAAAACAGACTGGCTGAAAACTTGTGACGTCTATGAGAGCTCTCAGGTTGGCTCACTTAAACTGGAAATCAGAAGTTTTTGGCCTGTTAATCTAGCAAATAAAAACTTTCAATAGTTTTGAACCCAATTGTTAAACACGTTCAAATGTAACCCCTTCTGATTTAGTGTGTTCGGAACAAATGATTCTCATTAGGACAAGGTAGGAAAATGTTTTAAAACTTTTGCATAATTGGTGGATGAGACTGAACAGTGATTTAGTTATTGTTCAGTGGTTAGCATGAAAATATGGCATGGAAAGAAAACCGAATCTGGCCTTCAGATTGCTCTGTCACACGGTCTTAAACCAAGACTTTAACAAGGTTTTTGTTGTGTTTTTTTTTTTTTAAGACTTTAATGAGGCTTAACACCTTAACAATGTGTTTATAAGGAAGCCCCATTTATTTTGAAAGATTTTAAATTTCATCTTTTTGTGTAATTCTGCGTACATTTCTGAAAATAAGTATTTTCTTTTTGAAGTGATTCAAATGAATATTAAAAGCACCTTTCAAAAATGGAAGGTGTCTATGTGGGATTAGAGGTATTGTCAGTCACCTTGTTACTAACTTCTGAGTTACCATGGACATACAAAGGGACAACAGATCTGCATTAAAGGGTTTCTACATGGTGCTATAATTTGGTGTTCTTATTATGAAAGAGCTTTCTTGCTATTTGCTCTACATTTTAAGATTTTATTTATTTATTTGACACAGAGAGAGAGACAGCGAGAGAGAGAACACAAGCAGGGGGAATGGGAGAGGGAGAAGCAGCCTTCCCGCTGAGCAGGGAACCCGATGTGGGGCTCAATCCCAGGACCCTGGGATCATGACCTGAGCTGAAGGCAGACGTTTAAATTTGCTCTAAATTTTAAATTCCTTTGAGAAAAATTTGAATCGTACCTCCCCCTGTCATTAAAAAACACAGAAGAACAAGTTATTTTTAGACCTTTGGAAGACAGTTACAATCATACTATGCCCACCAGTGTATCCTGGACAAAATAAGATAACTACTTTCAACCTGACATGAGTTTTTCAGACAACATAAACCTTTTTTCTCATATATACAAGAAGTTAATATGAGTATATTTAAAAACATTAAAATAATTCAGAAAAGCAAAAGGGCAAGTGTTTTTAATTTATTCTTTTCACTAGCCTTTTTTAACCCTTGGATGATTACATAGATTGAGTTTGATAGTTTTGTGAATAAATTTCCAGGCCTTCTCTGTGCATCTATAAACTAGTTATATGCTCACTATTATTTCGAAAATGGTATCACACTCTACATGTTATTTTGAAATTTATCTTGCTTTTTTTTTTTTTCTCTCAAAATGTACCCAGGACCATTCTTCCATGTCAGAATCTATAGATTTACTCAATTCTTTTAATGGCAGCACCATATTCCATGTTGTAGATAGAATAAAACTATTTACAGTCTCATTATTTATGAACATTTAGGTTATTTCCCTTTTCCCCTTACTGTGCGATTAACTTTTGCATTACCTTTTCTTTTTCAGGGTCACCTTGGCTTTCATTGGGATCAGTTTGTTGGTTATAGGAACTACACTGGTTGGACAGCTGCCAGATAGCAGGTGAAATGTTCCCTTCCACTCAGCCATAAATAGGATTGTCACTTTGCTTAGCTGTGTCCACAAGAAGAATATTTGATCCCTATGTATTGCATCAAATTTATGGCCTCGACACACTCACTAAAATTTGGCTTACTTCATATCCATAGTCTGTATTTGATTTGCCATCACACTTTCCTATATATGGTGAGAACTTGTTTTTCAAAGGGGAAATGAAGGAAAGAAAGAAAACAGACCGAGGGACTCAAGGAAAGCAAGAGAGTCTTACACATGGTCAGGCTCACCGGGCTGAGACCAAAGATGCTTCAGCTTCTCGTGGTCAGGAATTTATCGTGGTAGTCTTGTCAGGTGGGAGCTATTTTTCCACTGGAGTTTTGTCCTAAGGGCCTCAATGAGACTTTAAGAAGTCAACTGTGCTTGTGTTTCAGAACAGGGTATGCTGCTGGGAAGGAGCACACTGAAGCTTTTATTGTATTGTTTCCTAGGAGGGCCCACGACTGCGCCATGAACTGTTTTCTCTTTCTTTCAGCCTCAAAAACTGGCTGAGTGAACTGGTCCACCTGACATGCTGTCGGATCTGTGTGCGAGCCCTCTCCGGTACCATTCATTATCATAACAAGTGAGTGTCTGCGGGCTTCCATCTGCCTTTCTGTTCGTAAACCCAGCCTGCCACTGACAGCCGTGGGTGCAGGAGGCGGGGGAAGTCAGCGTACTTCCATACGTTCATCCCTGCTGCTTAGAGTGTCACAGACACGATGGTTTTGCACGAAAATCTTTTAAAGAGCCATCCATTTGCCAAAGGAACCACATAATAATGTAATGACACTTAATAATCGGGCATTTCTGGTGTGCAGGCCAGGCCCATGCTTCTCCTAGGTCATCCCCCGTGACAGGCGCTGTTGTCCTGCAGGTGAAGTGGGGGAGCTCTGGGACTGGTTGTCTAAAGTCACGTGACTAGGTCGTGGCAGAGTCAGGGTGTGAACTGGGTCTGTCGTTGTAAAAAGTGATGCAGTTGACAGGCCTGTAGTGTGGGGGAAGGAGGATGGGCCTTTAAGCCTTGAGACCTGCTTTCTGGTCTCCGTCCCGCCACTTCTGAAGTTCCATAACTGAGCCTTAAGACATAACACCACACTTGGCTTCCCTCACCCCTAACCATAGAGGAGAATGGTAGCTAACTGAAGGTATTAGCTGACTGAAGTAATTTTGATTGCTTTTGAATTACTTTTCTGTTAACCCAATTTTACTTTTTTACATTTAATTTCATTATTTCAAAAGTTCTAGAAAAGCCCCTCTTTTTTGTTGCCTGGATCTTTCTGTCTCATCTGTGGAAGGGAGACATTATCTCCTTTGGCTTTACCATGTGTTACCAACATAAAAGACCCCTTAAATTTCTAAAATTACATGTTTTTTTTCTTTGAGCTGTGAGTTTTGGGGATGAGGAGTAGAAGAAAATGCTTTGGTAGAACTGTGATCAGAAGAGATACTATCTACAGAAAAGGTGATTTAATTACATAGAGAGTTCACAACTTATTATATATAGAATTGCTTCTAATTTTAAGGAAAGCATGCTAAAGTTGTTATGCATTTGGTTCTCTTTCTTCTCTGTATTGGGCCAATGAAGACTACTTTGCTTAATTAGTGTCAGATACTGGTTGAACTTTAGGACAAGGGTCGGCAAACTAACTTACGGGCCTAGAGGCCAAATGGGGCCTGCCATCTGTTTTTTGTAAATAAAGTTTTATTGGAACATAGCCATGCTCATTCATTTATATATTGTCTGTGACTACCCTTGTGCCAAAACAGCAGAGTCCAGTAGTTTTGACAGGGATTGGCTGGCTTGCAAAACCTAAAATATTTATTATCTGGCCCTCAATAGGAAAAGTTTGTCAACCTCTGCTTTAAGGGGATAAGAGGGAGGAAACTATAGTAAATTTACTCTGTGGGTCACTGTGAAACTACTAAAAATGATGCTTATGAAGCCTGAAATAATAGGAAAATACTTAAGATAAGTGAAACTTGCATATCACAATATTAAAGTTATGGAATCTTTGTAACTCAGTCTAATATTTTTAAATTATCCTTTTTCATTATAAAAGGAAAATAGATCATTACAAAAAACCAATGTAAATATATATAAAGGGCAAGTCATCGGCCCCTTCCTATACTCTTATCCCACTCCCATCATACTGCCTGGAGATAACCTTTTTAAGATGGACCATCTACTTTGAAACTATATTTTTTTAATGTACTTTTTAAAGCACTATAAGATGAATCTATACATGCTGTTCTGCAAAATAATGACAAATTTCCAGGTTTAGTATTTACCACTGTTTGTAATTGCAGGCAGTACAGACCCCAGAAGGGAGGCATTTGTGTTGCCAACCACACTTCCCCAATAGATGTTTTGATCTTGACCACGGATGGATGCTATGCTATGGTAAGAGCAGCTCAGTGATAGTTCAAGTCATTGTATCTTTTGTGGATTGTTCAAACTTTTAATTTATTTTGGCACACATTAGGAAGTTTTATATTAGGAAGTGACTAGGTTATACTACTGTAGCTGTATAAGTTATATAATACATTAAATGAACACTACGTGGTGCAAGAAAAAAAAGGAAAGTAGCCATTATATCTAAGGTAGTAAAAAATTTAGGGCGCCTGGTTGGCTCAGTCAGTGGAGCGTGTGACTCTTGATCTTGGGGTTGTGAGTTTGAGCCCTACGTTGGGTGTAGAGATGACTTAAAAATTAAAAAAAAAAAATAAATCTTTAAAAAATAAAAATAAATAAATGGATCAGTCTTTTAAAAAAAGGGAGTAAAAATTTTGACTTACCGAAATGTAGACATACTTGAGCTTGATAGGACTTTGCAAGGTTGATTCTATCTTGCTTCTAAAATCCCAGCAATGTTTAATAAATAACACTTTGAGACGTTAAAGTCTTCCTCCTTAGAGCTGTGCAAATCCCTTACCAGCCAATTAATTGTGTCTTCCTTCAGGGAATCATATACAATTGAAAAAAAAAATCAGACTTTTTAATGAATATCAAGCAAGAAAGACAAATATATAGACCATGTTGCCTTTCTCAGTCACTGGGGGGGTTTTGAAGGCCTTTGTAAAAACTCCTAATTTATTGCCAGATAGTTAATCCATCTAAAATATAAGTTCAGATATATATCTCTTGGGCAACCACATTTTACTCCATTATTTTGTCTGAATCCAAGGAAGCTTTAACTACTTCTAGGAAAAAACTTACGGGAATTGGTAGTTCTTAACCTTTTTTAGGTTAGGAATCAGTTAATAGTTATGTACCCATTCTTAAGAAAAACAGTGACATACTTGTGCATCATACAAGCATGATTTTGTTTAAAAGTCCACTCGAGGACCCTCCTGTTAACAATCCTTGGTAGGATTGTTACATACACCTGGCACCATTCTGGGTGTATGTAATAATTCCTTGCATTTATGTGGTCAAGCACTTCCACATACATTATATGTGACCTCCCTGTAATCCAGTGAGATTTGGGCTGATACTTTGTTACAGATAAGAAAGCAGAGGTTTGGGCATTTTAACCAACTTGCCAAATTACGATTTTCTGTTTCTGGGACCATACTCATTCTGTGTCCTGGTCAACAAAAAGTTGAATACAACTCATTGGTGACTGAGTCCTCAGAATTTTTTTGGAATTTTCTATGCTTTTTTATTGTGTTTAGAAAGTTTAGAAAAACGTAGCACCTGCTAACTTTCCAGTGGGTGGAGTGATAGACACGGAAAGCCAGTTAGGTTTAAATCTGAGGCAGAGAGGGCAGAAATGGGAGGAAACTGTATTGCTGACTTCCAAAGGTCACATGTGGCCTCTTTTGGCTAAACACAAACTATATATCTGAAGAATATTCAAGATCTCTTCTCAGGGTCTTTTCAGAGTCCTTTTTCCTCCTAAACAAAGACTTCTACTTTTTAAAAAAAATTAGAAATATTTTCTAAGTCATAGACATTGTAATAATAAACATCCATATGCCCTTTAATCACATCTACCTGTTGGTAGCATTTTGCTCCATTTGATTTATCGTTTGCATTCTCATGTGCTGGCTTTCTCTCTGTCTCTCTACATAAAATGTGTATAAATTATGTATATTTTTAATGATATTGAGTATTTATTTCTAATATTAATATAATATTGGAAATTTGGGTCTGTACCAATTCATGCAATTCATAGGGTTCTTTTTTTTTTTAAAGATTTTATTTATTTATTTGAGAGAGAGAGAATGAGAGAGAGAGCACATGAGAGGGGGGAGGGTCAGAGGGAGAAGCAGACTC